TATTGCAAACTGTGCTACTATAAACATGGGTGCACATATATCACTGTGGTATGATTCTTTTAATTCTTTTGGGAAGATACCCAGCAGAGGAATAGTTGGGTCAAATGGGACCTCTAATCCTAGTTGTTTGAGGTGTCTCCATATTGATCACCACAGTGGTTACACCAGTCTGCACTCCCACCAACAGTGGAGAAAGGGTTCCTTTCACCCCACAACACTGCCAGCATTTGTTATTGGCTGATTTCTTGATAGCAGCCATTCTTACTGGGGCGAGGTGGAATCTCAGCGTTGTTTTCATTTGCATCTCAAATGACCAGTGATGTTGAACATTTTTTCATATGTTTATTTGCTGCTTTTACTTCTTTGTGTGAGAAATGTGTGTTCATTTCGGATGCCCATTTTTGGATTGGGTCTTTATATTTGGGGGGAAATATAGTCATTTTTAGGATCTGCCTGGCCAAGGATCTTGCTCTGAACACTCCATCCCTTAGCATTTCAGTTCCTCTGTGGTACAGGAACTATCATTCTTTGCTTTCAAGGGTACAAAACTTAGAAGCTGTTCAAACAAAAATGAGTAGGAAGTTTGAAACATTACCTCTGGAGAGTACATGGTCCTAAGTGTGGAGTCTCACCAACAGTCCTGCCCTATGTCTCCTAGAAAATCCTAGCCGGTAGGAACATGAGGTTCAGGGCCTTGGGGAGCCACAGGTTTCTTATGAAGCTGTGACTGGACCTTCCTTCTAGAAATAAGTTCAGGGGAGTCTACCCCCAGAGTCCAGGTTTCCCTCAATGCCCACTCTGTCCTCCAGTTCAGCCCACCTTTCTAATATCTCAGTATTTCTCAGATAATTTTCACTCTATAGCTTACTTTTGTGTGTGTGTGTGTGTGCCAGGGATAGAACTCAGAACCTTGTGCTTGCCAGGCAGGCGCTGTGCTGCTGAGCTACATCTCTGGCTGTTTTTTTTGTTTGTTTGTTTTGACATCATTGAACTCACCAGACTTAATAACTGTCATGTCTAGGGGATGGACAACACTGCTCCACTCTCCAGGCAGCTCAGGAATCAAAAATTCAGTGCCAATAGTGAATTAAGAATATAAAGTTTAGAAAGGAAAAGACTTTATTGGAAAGGGGTGAGGGGAGAAGATAGATAAGCTACCCCAATAAGGACCAGAGCAGGGGCACCAGAAACTTTGTCCCTGGCCTCTCTGATAGGGGCCAGAGTCCCTTTCCCCTACCTGGATTTAAACCTGATTGGCCTTCTGGGGTTGTCCTTGAATTAAACTGGGCCCTCTATTTACATTATTTCTTTCGGTGGTCATTGTGTAACCATTTTCTGTCTATTTGTCCTTGACAAGGTCTTGATTCCGTGGTGGGCTGCTGGTTGGCTAGGAGGTGCCTAATTCATGGTTAGCTTAGAGTTAGTAAGGGGATGTGTGGGTATCTGTTGTAGTAATATAGTGACCCTAGAGTGAAAACAAACTTAATTCTTTCCATGATTCTGGTAGGTTCCAGTGCCACCTATGCTATCTTGGTGCATTTCCATATCTGGTTTTCTTTTTCTCTACCTTTGTCCTTGAAACTATGCCCAGGGGAATTTCTCTACTAAGGTTTTAACTTCTGCTAGTCAGGGTTAGCCAGAAAACTAATGAGGGGCAGAGAAGCTCAGCCAGTCCCAGCACCTGGAAGGAAGCTCCCTGCCTCCATCCTAGGCTCCTAGGGCAGAGAAGCTCAGCTGGTCCCAGCACCCAGAAGGAAGCTTCCCCGCTGCAATCCCAGGCTCCTAGGGCAGAAAAGGTGAGCCGGTCCCAGCACCCAAAAGGAAGCTCCCCCACCACCATCCCAAACTCCTAGGGCAGAGAAGGTGAGCTGTGTGGGCCCCAGAAGCACCCCCCCCTCCGTGAAAATGAGAAAACACATAAACAATCCTCAAAAAACAGAGTTCCAGATCACCTACAGCAACCCCAAAGGGAAACCAGATGGAACAATCTGTTACTCAACCACCTGTACTCTCTGAACTGGCAACAAAAGAGGATCTGGGAAAAATGAAATCAGAAATAATTACTCAGATAACAGCAAAGATTTTGCTCA